AGAAAACTTTAAGCGTTACTCAAAATTCACAGAGTATAAACAACATGTTCCTTAATCTCAACCGGTACGGTCGTTCGACTATTTGAGTAAATATAGTATCTACAAAATAGCAAAAGAGACGAGTAGCGCCTAAATGATGGCATGCCAATGAAAGAATAGTGTTTTCTTTTCGAAGTGAAATTAAAGTAAGGATAATAACAAGAAAGATAGAAAACGAAAATGCGTAGGTAGACGAATTGCGTTTTCATCGTCACCGAAATAGTCGCTCACTCGGTCGGTTGGTCCATCAAAAATTGTATTTTTAGCTGTCAAAAAAACGGCATGGAAAGAAAGAGAGAGAAAGAAGAATACTCGCGCGAGCGCACTTTTGCCCTCTCTTTTTCTCCTTCTTCTTCGAATAGGGAAGCCGAGTTCGATAAAATACCGGCGACACCGGTACCGGCATTGACATCAGCATCGATATCGACATCGAATGTGATTTTATCGTACGATATGAATGATTGAATTTAGGTTAAAAAAACGACAGTCTCCAAGCTGCTTGCCTTTAAAATAGGTGAAAAAGTATAAAGAACACTAGCCGAGCGTGGGGTCACAACTTTTGTTCGTACTACTCTCTTGATTTACTCGAGTCGCGTGTCTCGCGCGCGCGTTATTACCACTTTGCGTGAACATTGTTTGAGGAAAGCATGCCGTCTGTTCTTTCCTCTTGTCTTTTTATTCTCTTATCATAAAGCTTTACCTCTACTATCCGTAGGCTGGAGACAAAATTCCCGCTACGGAATGGCATATGTTAATCGTGACCGACACGCACCCTTCCCGTAACACACGGAAAGCTAGCAGAGTCCGAAGGCGTACTAGTTAGGTATATAGAATAACCAGTCGGTCAGGGCAAACACCACCACCACCACCAACCCACTACCACCAGCATACTACACTACTGCCACCATCTCCTTTTCTCTCTTTCTTCGTCTAACAATCAGTACACTCTTGACTCTACTTTCTCCGTTTTTCGATCTTTCTCTATGTTACAATATGATTGTTTTTTGATCGCTTGACTAAAAGCAACCTGCGAATTGCTTCATCTTAATCTGCTTTAACTCTGGAAATGCATTAGAATCCATTCATTGATTACATGTGTGCGCGCGACTAATAAAAATGCGTACATGTTAAAACGGTTACTCATTGCGCACGCGAAACAAAACCTAACAAAAATTATAAAAAGGAAATGTAGGCGATAATAAAATATTTTTCATCGTATTCTTCTTAAAGATATATATATATATATATATATAATATTGTAATTAGAAAGATAAGGTTATCATACTAATAAGATCACTATTTTATGTGCCAATAGAAACGCTTACTTCACATATACGATTTTCAGAATTGACCAATCCCTGACGACTTTCTGATATATCTAAATTGGACTCAAACTTCTTTCTTGTTATTTCATTAATCAATAAGATCTATATCATTTGTATTTTTACATTCTACATATATATATATATATACATATGCAACTTTATAATATTATTATATTTAGTAGAAAAGCATAAAAACTATCACATAAAACGATTTTCAGGACAAATGCCCAAATTTATTTTATTAAGGATAATAGATTTATACAGGATGTTTTACGCGATACTGCTAGCGTTGGATGCAATTCTTGGCCATAAATCTGCACATTCTTTCGCAACAGGTCCCGTAATAGCCGATCCTTTCATTTCACCTTTATTATTCACAATAACTCCTGCGTTATCTTCAAAGTATATAAATACACCGTCCTTCCTTCTAAATGGTTTCCGCTGACGTATGACTACTGCAGGCATAACTATAATTATATTCAAAAAGTTAAAGTTTTCATATATATAAAAAATACATATATAAATAAAAAGTAAAAATTGTTTACAAAATATAATTATAAAAAATTATAAAATATTTATTAAAATCTATATGTATATCTGAAAGTTTACCCTTCTTCCTGAGTTCAGGTTTTCCTTTTTTCACAGTAGCAACAATCATATCTCCTGATCCAGCAGCTGGTAGACGATTCAATCTACCTTTGATTCCTTGGACTGCTATGACATAGAGATTTTTGGCACCTACAACAAATTTACAATAGAGACCTTGTATTTGTAAATTTTTTATTTATTTTAATTGGTTAATTTTTAATTTCAGGCAAATACAATATATTTAACGAATATTTTTGTTAGTTATGTGTGATACTATATATTACAAAATAATAAATGAGGATTGGGTCTCTGCGAATATTTGTCTACGAATATAAAAATTATCATATTTTTATTTAAATTTGGCAAATTGTATTGGATACATAGCATAATAATAGAAATGATTAACCATGTGCTACAAATGATGGATACACACGATTAAGTTTTGAGGTTAAGATGTATAACTTAGAAAATAATCATTTATAACATACCGGTATTGTCGGCACAATTGATGACAGCACCAACTGGCAAACCCAGTGATATCCTAAACTTAGCTCCAGCCGAACCACCACGTCCTTGAAGAATAAAAATCTCACGTTAAATTCAGACAGTGATAAACAACTACACGACACTCGTTCCTTCCGCAAGATCGTTTTTCTTCAACGAAAATACAATTCACGAAAGAACTTCTCATATCACAAAATATTTCCATTAAATTGACACTCGTCGTTTGTTTTTATTTCTATCGATGTGTAGTTTTACAATTGATTTCATTGGATTTTCATTCTTCTCACGAAGAAACTTACCTCTCTTCGACATCTTGGTTTGTTTGAAAGGAAAAGACAACGATTCTCAAGCGCAGTACGACTCGTCAATTCTCAACACTTCGTTTCCGGTTTATTCAGGAAATATATTTAATTGCAAAGTTCTTTATTATTATGTTAAAATTGTTAATATTGACGTATCTTTTCATATAAATTAAATTATATCAAATTAGATTTTGCTATATAAAAAAACATTAGGATAATAAATATTAGTAGTAAAACAATTAAATCGTCGTTTGCTGTTTAAAAAAGGCGGTAAAATTGAATATGACATATTTTTCCTTTATTACATCTACAAAGATATGTTGATTAATATTAATTATTAATCCTATTCATAAATAATAAAATCATTGAATTTTTTGCCATGAAAATATCCATATATATATAAATTCTATTTATGTACATACATAAGTGAGATTAAAACTTTATATACTTAGGTACATAAAATTAAAATCGAACATGATCTACGAAGTATATATTAACGTAGTTTAAATCTTATTGGTTTCCAAATATCTAATACATTTAAAGTATATAGTAAAAATTTACAAAATGAAAATCTTTTACTCAACAGTTATAATTATATATTATATACAATAAAATATACAAGAAAATAAAATTATTATTTTATTATTTCAATATGTATATATAAATATTTATTAGTTATTTATTATATAATAATAATATATTAATAAAGAAAATAGTTATTGATTTAAAAAATGTCGTACATTAATTGATAACTTTACGCAATCTTTCTGATTAGAATACTACATCGTTAAGCGTCCATTATAGAAAAAAGATAATAAAAGAAAGTAGCGCTAGTGTATCTCTTATAAATGAACCTTGTATATCCGGCTTATCTAATTAGTTGCAGTTTTTCAAGGCCATTGAAATTTACCATAGAAAAAGCATAGTTATATTGAACAATCGTATAAAATAATAAAGTTGTATATTTAAGATGAAGTGGATATTATTTAACAGTGCATTCCTAATATGTAGTTACTTCATTTTATGTCAAGATATTGTATTTCCAAATGATGAGGAATTATCTCATGTGAGTGGAAATAAACCAATGGTATGTGTTATAAAAAGTACATTTCATGTATAAGAAATTTGTTATATTGTAAGATGAAAAATATATATCATTTGTGTGTTAAGATAACAGAGCGTATTCCTGTGTCAATACCGGATCATTGTCCAAACAATATGCTTCTTTATCCTAGTGGTGGAAATAATGTTGCTTGGGTGTGCGATTGTAGACCAAGATTTTTATATCTTCCTTTAAATGATTCGTGTTATGAAGCCTATAGACAAGGACCTTGTTCACCACAACATTATTTAGTTCTTCCTGAAGGAGAAGCAATCCCACAATGTGTTAAAAATCCATGTTTAGAAGATGGTTTAGTTAAATACAATAATACATGTTATGCTCTTAATACAATTGGTGGTCCTTGTGCACCCAGTGTGATAGGTGTCAATGAAACTAATTTTCAACTGGAATGCATATCAATCGATATTGCACCTTTTGTAATAATTAAAGCACCTACACGAAACTGTCCTCCAGGTAGTCGTAGAACTACACTTGGATTCTGCAAGACACCGATATAAATTTCTTTTTATATGATCTATCGAATTTTAAATATGAAAAAACTGAAAAAATTTATTTATTAATGAAAAGATAAAGAATATTTAATGAATAGAAATAAATAATGAACATTATAATATACATTTATATATAAGTATATTTTATATTTTTTATTAATTCTTTGTAAATTAAATATTGTAATATTTTAAAACTGACAATTTAATAAAAATATATGGTATAATAAAAAAAATTATATTTATTTTTTATTGTATTAAAACAATTGAATAAGTTAAAAAAATAATAGGACTTTAGATACATACATTGTATCAATCATTATTCCTGTCTATAATTGTTTCTTTGAATCGTTTTACTCTTAATCATACAAATTGATGAGATAATATACTTATTGTTCGTAGTACAAATAGTATTGATGTTCTACGTCATCGACTTTGATTAAAAAAAAAACACAAATATTTGACTAACGTAGTATATTCCGGTTTTTTAATTTGAATTTTTTTTTTATGACAAGACACGCAAAAATTTTAAAAATATAAATTATTTAGAAAAGATTTATCTATATAATCTTTGCATATATATAATTTACAATATACTATTTATTTGTGTATGACGTATTTGAAAAAATATCGATAGAAAGTAACAAAGAATTGTTACAAACACGAACATTGGGATCATTATTTATTAATACACAAATATTCTTAAGGTCTATACCATTCCAGTTAAAAACAAAATATTAAGTTTTAATTCATATTTAATGAGAACCAAATATATTTTTAATTTTAGGATAATTCTTTGATGGCTACTTTCGTATGTACTGCAATTTGTCCTGAAAAAAATATCAACATTCATGGTTAGTAAATAAAAAGAAATACATGAATATTTAAAAAATAGCTATTTTATTCTTCATATAATTATTTTTAGTTAATTTAAAAATTATTTTAGAACACGATTGTTCCTAAATATTGATTAATTTTATTATCGAAAGTCATACTGAAAACTGATCTATTTAACTTATAAATATACTTGATATATTACGTGTATATATTATCAAACGATATGATATTAAAACGTAATTAAAATATAACAGATTGTGATTGTTAAAAGAACTTACTTGAGTTATTTTTTCGATAGTATATTTCTCTATTTGATCACATAGATCTGTATACTTTACGCGGTTCTGTTTCTTGATTTCATAAGTAAATTAACATAAAGTATAATTCAAGTAAATTTACTATATTTTACTTCAATATGCCTGGTGAACTGACAGCAGATATAATTAATTTAGAGCTTGGAGGTGATTTTTTCAGATTCTTTTTTAAAACTTTTTATATTTATTATTTCGGTTAAATTATTAGAATCTAACCTCACTTTATGATATAAACAGCTCATCTTATATTTCATGTAGTAAATTTGTCTAAGTGTCATCTTTATTTATAAATTTCGATTGAAACATTTTATGTACTGGTATATTTTAATAATGTTTATTGCTAAAGTTTGTATATTTGGTACCTCTATTTACAGCTCAGGAACCATGGCCTCAATTGATACAATTATATAGACCATTCGAAGTAGAACAAATATTATTGCCAGACAATGCTAACTGTCTTGCTGTTCAAGCTTTTCTCAAAATGTGTAATTTGGAGTTTCAAATAAAGTCAAGAAGAGATGCCGAGTATATGTCTCCAAATGGTTCTTTGCCTTTTATTAAATGTGGTGCATTTGTACTATCTGAATTTGATAATATAGTGTCCTTTATTTCAAACAAAGGGACAAGTTTATCCAACCATTTAAAACCTGTAGATAAATCAGATATGAAAGCTTATATTTCATTAGTCAACAATGTTTTTGTGAATGCAGAACTTTATATTTGTTGGGTCGATCAAACAACATTAGAAGAAGTAACTAAACAAAGACATGGAAGTGTTTATCCCTGGCCTCTTAATCATTACCTGAATTGGCAAAAGAGAAAACAAGTTATAAAAAGGCTTACCGTACTTGGTTGGTATAATAGAACTTTAAAAGAAGTCTCTAATGAAGTTGAAAATTGTTGCGTGATATTATCAGAAAGATTGAATGGAAGAAACTTCTTTTTTGGTGACAAGTAAGTAGTTTTAACATATACGCTAAAAATATAATCCCACTTTTATTTTTATATAAATAAGTAAAGTAACAAAATTACAATATTTAAATATAATTTGGAAGACCTACAGAACTTGATGCCTTGGTATATGGTCATATACAAGCTCTTACCAACTTCCATTTCCTTCCATCCACACAAGGAATTAACACAATTATTCATATATTTCCAAAACTTATGGACCATGCTTATAAAATCAATAGTATCTACTTTAATCAAAAGTTAGATCGAAGCAAAGAAGCCACACTTGAAGATAATTCCATTATAAGAGACTTTGAAGTAATAGAAAAACCATCAGAAACTTCTTTATGGTATAACTCAGATTCTCCTGAATCTCTTCCACCATTGTCAGAAGATTCATTCATTCTATAAATATTGTTCATAGACTTTCTTTCCAAATTATTAATTTTATATAATACGAAAATAATGCATGGAAATTTGCATGTAAATATATGCATTTATTCTTAAAACTTAATGTGTTTATAAATTTTATTTATTAATTTTAATATTATATTAACAATATTCTTTATTATTATTTCTATAATAATGTTAAAAATTATTTAATTAATTATGTAGAAATCCAAATGAATTGGATGCCCTCGTCTTCGGACATATTTTTACGATTATTACAACACCTCTTCCAAACAACGTTCTGGCGAATATTGTCAAGAATTTCCCAACACTCGTGAATCTCTGCAAACGCATCGAGAATAGGTATTTTCAACGTTCGGATGATTAGACAAGGTTGCACTCGGACTTCAGGTATATTGAATTGAGTTATACTGATTACAACACAATCAAGTTCCTATGTTATGCAACAGATACAACTAAAGATGAAAATATTAGTAGAAATATTTGCAATATACAATAAATATGTCCATGTATATATGTATTTCCATATATGGACATTTGTTACTACATCAATAATTACAAGAGAATTATCAGATAAATTAAAAAAAAATTTACATCAACATACTTGAAGTTCGAGTTAAAAGATAATATGATAGTTAAAAGATTATATGTTATATACCGTAATTGTTAACAAGATAACTGAATATGACTATTAATCACACATAATATTTTAGTGTTGAATGCAAAATAATACCTAAAAAATAGATAGCTTATAACAAATATAACATTTTTCAGCATATTTTCTCTACAAACATTAGCAGTCAAATAGATTAACAAAACGTTGGAGGCAAGAGATAGGTGACACATCTAAGGAGATTTGCAATTATTGTAAGAGTATATAAAACTTATACAAGCTGTTTTTAACACTCGGCGAAAAGTTTTTTTTTGGATATTATTAAAACATTGGTTATAGTAATACTCTGTTCTCATGTTAAAAAGATGAAAGAGTTATTTTCCATGTACCTGTGCATAATATTCATGCTATTTGTATCAATAATAATTATATAAACATATATCCATTATATACAACGATCGTAATTTTGTTGATAACAATGAATGTAAACAGATGATAATAATGTTATAATTCTAAATAGAAAATTGTTTTTATTCTGGTATTTTCTAAGTTCTCTTTAAGATCATTCATAAATCTAATCATTGATAAAATACAGGTAATCATTATTTGTAGTTGTACATTATTTTGTTTGTACTGTGTTTCTGGCTGAAATACAAAGTGCATTTGTTAAACATGTTTTTAAATAACAGAACAGAGTAATATAATTATTTTTTAACAAAGATGAAATATTTCATCTTTTTCACACAATTTATTTTACAAATTAATTTTTATCTAGTCAACTCTACTTTACATCATTTTACATGTAGACTTATGTATACAGTAATATATAAATTATAACCATTATAAGACTTTACTATATAATTTGTCAATATATAAAATAGTGATTCTTATAAATAATATAAAATTTATTATATCAAATTCTTTCATCTGTTATTACAGCTATTTTATTATTATTAAATACTTAATAATTATCCAAGTACTTTATAAATACATATAATATGTTAATGATTACTTTCTTTTTTTTTTTTCTTTAAGATTTAATATAGATAAAAGAATTTGAAATAATATTATTAATAACTAATTATTCAATGAGACAATATAATTAATATTTTAGAATAATATTTGTCTGCAAATAACATATTGAAATATTTGTATCTCATACTTAACTTTATTCATTTTCTATGAAGTTCTCATTTTGAGAATATTTTTCAAATAAACATTATGTATATGTAATATTTGTGTCACTTACCTGTTTAGTAAAGATGTATAATAATTAGCATTTATTAATGATTAGGTACATATTTCTTGTGTCCAGCGTTTCTGTTATTCTTTTATAGGCAGTTTTATTTTATTGAGCACAAATTATATATTGATATATATCCATTTTTTTTCAAAGATATATATATATTTTTTTTTTAGAAAAATAATTGTATAATTGGTCTGACACAATAAATAATATATACTCGATGTCACTTAGATTAGTTCACCATAGTTTTAATTGACTGTCTGTAATATGAACAATGTGTATTTTTATATCTTATATCACTTATAGAGATTTAAAAAATTTATTCCATTCCTTTTTATGCAAATATTTATTTAACATATGTATTGTAATGACATATTAACCCTTATTAATATAAAATGTTGTTATCATGTATCAATATGAACGTATAAACAAAATGTTTTAAATGTTACTAAAAAAGAGATGTACCTAAAAATACATATGCATTTTTAAATCTTTCCACGAGAAGTCAGTTACACAAATACATATAAAATAATGTACGTCCATGTCATATAGATGCTTAGTGGGGGAAATCGTTTGGATTATTTGACACGACGCTAAGAGGCACTACTGCGCCTTCATATTTTCAACGAAAACGGCCAAAAACTGGGTTTACGTAAAAAATTCTCCTCGTTACAATTTTTATTCGATTTTGATGATCAACGGATCATTCGAAAGATAAAAGATAAATATATAAATTTATCTTTTTTCATTAATATATTTAAAAACAATCCTTTTGCGTGAAAATTACATTTAAAAATAATCTTTTTTTTAAACATGTTTTATGTAAAGAAAATATTTTTTTTTCAAAATTCATTAATGATAATCTTGTGTGTTTATCCTTTATCTTTCGAATAAGTGATTGTTCATCAAAATTATACTAAGTTGATCAGAAGAATTTTTGATCAACAAATTAAACAAATTGATCAGAAGAATAAATCATTGTAAATATATAGAGCAGTAAACAATCTTAATACATATTATCATTCTTTATTCTGGATAAGGAATAAAATATGGATATAAATAAAATATGGTATATTTAGAAAAATCAAGGTTTTGCAAAAATTAATTTATATATCATGATTACTCGAGTATGACATTTTCTAAAATTTTATTATGCATTAGCATTAAAGATTCTCACAATTATTTTCTAACATTACTGATTGAATGTACTGTTTTACAGGTAGTTAATATTGATATACATGTTTGTATAGAATAACTCAAAAAATATGCAACAATTGATAATGAAAGAATATACAAATTTTAATGTATATGAGATGTTAATACATGCATATGGTAAGCATATGTTATAATAACATGATTTAAAATGTATTGCAATTTAAAATTTGATGCCAACCATGTGCGTGTGGTTTTTTGTGGAAATCATAAAAATTTCCAAGACAATACATTTTTTATTATAATGTTATGTATTATCTTAGTCAATTTTTTTTTTGATACAGATTATAAATTACATATGATTTTATAAACCTGCATTTATCTATCATGTATAATTATATAATTATATTACACACACATATACATATAATTATATAATTACTAATATATTCTTATACATAATGTATTCAAACAATCTTCAGGCTATAATACTTTATCGTAACAATGTAATTAACGAAAGATTTTCATTTTATTAAGATATCAGGGTTGAGATCATATTTTTCATGTAACTATGATGAGTATGTCATTTTTCTATATATTTATAAGCAAATCGTCTCCAAGTTTATATTTTTCTCATATTGAAATAACAATGATTTTCATAATGACTTAAGCTTAATAAAATACATTTATAGTAAAACTATTTCAAAATGTTCCCATAGAAGCTTTTACTAAATTTGTGAATACGAATTACTCTCATCTTTAAACAACTACTGCCAAATATTTTTAGTATAATTAACATTTTGTACTTAAGGTACACATATTTGATAGCTCATCATTCGTCTCTGAATATTGTACTCTATAATTTTCTCTCCACCTTTTTTGCATATGTATTGCAAATTCATGTGCAACTACTTTAATTAGAAGTATATATTTATATATACTTATAAGTTTTAAATGCAAAAAAAAGAAATATTGTATATTTGGAAGTCAGAAAAAGTTTGGAGGTTTATTCGTGTATATTTATATGCTTCTAAACAAATGTTCTCATATTTACTATGAAAAGTATATGTATGTTAAAAATAAATGACACTATTGTTGTAATGCTATTAATTTAAATGGGAATGAAGGAGAAAAGAGAAGTTGGTATATTATTAAAAAATAATGAATACTCAAAGATAATAAAGTATAATTTTGATTATTTTGATTGTTTAAATTTATTTATACTATTTTTTTACTTCGAAAAAGAATTACATATTCTCTTTTCCCCCATGTTCATAAATATAATTTCGAACTTTCTCTGTATAATTAGTGCTCATTATTAACTTTGATAAATTATGGGATTTACTAGAATAACAAGTAATGAATAAAACAAATTGATGTAACAGTATTACATCATATTTTTAGGAAATATTTCGTATATAAGGAAATTATTATTTTTTATAATGTAAAAATAATAAAAAGAAATGCATATTCTTTGAAAAATAAAATTCATATGGCCAGAAATTGGTTAAATTTTAATAAAATATATTATGTATAAAAACTATTTTTATGGAATATTATTACCGAGAGGAACTAATTTTAATAAATAATGCAAATATATAGGAAATTGATAAATTATACAAAAAATCAGATATTATTTCAGAAAAGTATTATATAGATAAAGTGTTAAATATTATTTATGGTATTGTTAGACATGTTCAAGTGATGAAATTAAAAAAAAAATATATATATAAAATAAAAACTTTAACTTTGTAATCTTGCATTACATAAGATTGTAATTAGTAATGCTATTGTCGTTATGTGATATCACTGACTTACTAAAACACAGATTTGATATATAAAGAAATTAATTGTCAAAATCGATTAATTTTTAATCTCGTGCAACATGAAATCTTCGAAGATATTCTTAAATTTATGTTGTATTTGTATTATTATATAACGGTAGACGATCGAAAGTGATTCCATTATGGAATTGGAAAGCATGAACTATCTCTTAAGGTTGCATGAAACTGTCGAATGTAATTCACTAATATTTGTTATATTTATGCGTAAAGATAATTAGTGAAATATCAATAAATTTTTTGTAAAGTGTTCCTTCCATTAGAGAAACAATTATCCTTTAAATAACAAATAATGTTTTTAGACCTTTCAGGTCTATGAATTTAGTTCTACTCTTCATCAGGCACACTCTCTTAAGACATTGCATTGAGTATAATAACGATATACGCATAATGTGTTATACGCGTATAGAATAATTGTTTGAATTTTTCACCACGGATATACACATTGCACACACGCTTTCACGCACATCTGAAGACTGATAATAGGATTTTTTTTTTGATCCTATACTTCAGTCAGTATTAAATTTTAATATGGTACCTTAATTAATCTGGTGGTAAAAAACTGAACAATCGAAATTGTTCTCTAATGTGTGGTCTAACATCTCCACCCTACAAAAAAGATATAATTTTATTTTTTATAATTATTAAGTATCATAATATATTTATATTTATAATAATATATATAAGATATAGCATACCCAATTAACTAAATTTTCTAAAAATGGTAATAATTTCATTAATTCATTATCTGAACGGTCAGCAAACCAGCTTTCTATAGGGATGCCATTTTCTAACTGTACAGAAAACAACGAAAATTGAATTAATATGAATTTGAAGGCAATGCTAGAAAGAAAATAAAACCTACTTGATATCCGAATGCTTGCGGGCTATTATCAATGATCACAGTTTTAGATAAATCTCTTCCAAGTATAGACAAATCTTTAATATAATTTCCATTAACACATACACAATGTTCTCTGAATAAGCGATACTTAATCAATTTTCTTGTTGGATCCAAAAGATTCATTAATTTGTTTGCATAAACTCGTTTACTTGCGGTAAAGAGTATTACTTCATATAGCGATGATACATGTTCTAAAAATTCACGAAAAAATGGTCGAGTTCTAACAAACACTGTGTATGTTATATCTTGAAAAACTACTGGAAATTGAAATGCTGCATCAGACAATTCTTGTAAACTACAATGTACGAGAGTTTCATCCTGCGATAAAAAAAATTATCATTATTTTTATTATTATTATAATCAGACAATTGATTATCTGTAAGGTATATGTATACATACCAAATCTAATACTAAACTAAATTCTGGACTACTTCGTGTTTTAAGAGGTAAAGCCGGACATCTGGCTCTCATTGCTGGAGTCAAAGGTGGTAAATGTTTGATGAAGACATATGGATCAAATGGTTCCCATTCCTCTTGTACTTGAGTAACCATATTTTCAACATCACAAGTTTCTACTATCTCTTCACTACCAACTTCCATATACTCAGCGTCATGATATTCACTGTCAATATCTTCAGCATCATATTTCATATTAATATTACCATTTGTATCAGAAGGATGATGAGCATCTATATCATATACACTTGTAGAAGTATTATATTTGGGAGTGGAATAATCCACAGTTCCTTCAAATTTGGATGAATCATTTTCAATGGTATACTGACTTTTTGATATACTACTATTGTTCTCATTGTTATTGATAAATGGATACTTTCCACTTCCAAAATATTTTTCAGATGAATATGTACTGCGAGTGCTATACATTGATGTTGAGTGCATTAAGCTATGATTTTCTTCAGATATTTCATTTGGTAAACAAAGCGCAGAGTAATGTAATGACAGAATATCTGTAATATAAATAATATTATTGAGAAGATTTAAATTTATATTTATGCATTACAAAAATTAAAAAGAAAATATAATATAAATTTCTATTCATCATACCTGTATTTCTATTTCCTTCGTCATCAAGAAAACATGAAAGGTCTAAATGAGATCCTAGAGATGCTGGAGGCATTAGATCAGTCAATGATGATGTTCCTGCAGTTGAAAATTTAAAATCTTGTGATGGTGTTGGCGTACAAAACAAATCAGTATTCAAACTTGATGAATAAAGTGATAAAATAGCTATATTCCAGTTTTCCTTGGATTCTTCTGAAATTTTAGATTCTACGGTTTCTTTTGGTGGCTGTAAAAAAATATACAATATCATATTATCAATGAAAGTAGTTGCAAAAAAAAAAAAAAAGTAATATCATCCGAAATAAAAAGAAATCATAAAAAACATCTTTCTCATTGTAACTTACAAGAATAATATCCTTTTGTGTAGTGCGATGTAAAGGAGTTGATGTAACCATGGATCGTTTTATACATTTTCTTCTACGAGGGCCCCTCTCACGTCTACTAGGCGAAGATTTGGCAAAATGTAAAACATTTTCTTTACAAGCCTACGAAGATAATAATCTTGTTTGAGAATACTGATTATTAGTCCGCGTATTAACCAAACGGCTTCAATTGTAGTTTTAAGTAATTTGTGTTTCTTTATTTGTTTCAGCGAAAGAATGTTTTTAATTACTTAACATTCTTGTCTATCTGTCAGTCACTCATTAATCATTAACCATTAAGTGTTGGTTAGTTAGTAATTGTGAGTTAATAAATAGTGAAGAATAAATGACCTGCAAAGATCATTTATGATAAACACATGAAAATAACAATGTGTTTAAAATGATAATGATAAACATTAAGAATCGATACTTTAGTTTATAGATTGTGAAGTGACTATACATATGTTAAGCTAAATTAATATTTTATGTAATAATTTCATACTTACCTCTTTTAAAAAATTTGGAGATCTATGTCTCCACCGAGTTAATCTGCTGCATTTACGTAATGTATTTATGCGGTGATTACTGCTAGAGATGAATGGTACCTTCCGTGCAGATGTTCCTTGCACTCTGCTAGTAGATGTCTTACTTCCTGACACACCGCTTATGTATAAACGGCCGCGCAGTCTTCTACTCACATGTTCACTTCTTAACCACATTTCAAAAGAAAAATTAAATGTCCTAAAATAAACAATACAATTTATTATTTAGTATACTTGGAAAATGATTAATAATAAAATAATTAATAATTATATTTCTTATGCATTATATGTATTATAGTTATCAATAATTATGAAATATTAACTAAGTTCAAGCAGTTATCCTTACTCTGCTTTTTATAAATCTAATTCATGCACCAAATCAGCAAACAAGCTTTGACTAAAAATATTCATCTGGTTGCATGTACGATTACTGATTCAGGAGTATGCTATCTTTAGCAAACAGCTTTATACATCAGTAAAGAGAATGCCTCAAGCAAGAACATTCTGGATAATAGTTATGTTTTGTTAACCATCCATGAAGTTCTTCATAAATGTTAAATATACATTTTGATAACTTCTTTTAAAACTTGATAATACACTTGAGCACTGTACAAAATATAAAAAGTTCTTACTTACAAAAAATAATTATTCTAAATAGAGAATGTATCAATTACACATAATTTCCGATTAATTCTTTTAATATTAAGATGCGTTCAAAATATAAAATAATCATATTTTCGTTCATTATTCTCTTTTAACTTTAATTAATCATCTTACTGTTTGTCAAAGTTTGTAGAAATTCGTCGAGCCGCCAGAGTCTAAAAGATATAAAATAATCACCGGTAGATCGGGCTTTGACGAAGGAACACGGTTCGAGAAAGATTCGATGAATAAGGTGTTGTAATTTATCGAACGCAATTATTGACACTTTTTACTTTTCGTTTATTTGTATGTTTGTACTGATTAGAAATTGCGCGGGAACGAGTTCGATTGTTCGAAAAAAGAAGCGTCCAAGATCTCTGGAATTTTGTCGCGCGTATGTACACACCTATACATATACATATATATATATGCGTGTATACATACATACGTTCAAATGTATAAGTTGACACACAGTTAAAGTAAGTACATATTCACGCGAAGGCATATATCGATTTATATGCGGTGTGATGCAAGGTTGCGCTCTGTCAATTTTAGCAAGATAATCAATGCATTTCCGCACCTAGAAATTTCCGTTTGATAAACGAATCGAAAAAATATGCGATAAAGAAGAAATTTCTGTCGGTCATCGCCCTTAACGAACTCTTCTTGGCTACATACGAATCGATCGAAAGTTTGAAAGTGCAATACTGCGCCGCGGTAGCGGCGTCGGCGGTAGCGGCGGTACCCAAAACGACACTATCACCCAAAAATTTCCCGCGAAAATCTCTCGACCTTGGGGAGTTAGACAAAATAGATTTCAAATGTTTCACTGCTTACCATATCCTTTAATTCATCAGGATGCACACGTCAAACGTCGGCGAATCAACGATGTATCCACCCTCGCGCGAGTCCCATTCAAAAGCTTCGTTCGTGTTCACTTTTCATCCCCTCGAAACTAAACAAACATGGCCACAGCATCGCTCGAAAATACTCATTGGTCAAATGTAGTACACGCTTCTACAATTTATCGAGACGTAATACGAAAATTTCACCGATTTATCTTTGATAATTATTTTATTTTTAATAAATAAACTCTGATAATTATCGTTTATATCGTTTTTATTGCGTCGAATTCGAAACTATGTTGTTCCGGTTAATAATGCGCCATCTGCCGGATATTTCACGCTGATGTTGTTCTAGAATGATGCGTAATAGCGGCCATTTTCTTGATATGTTTGCGAGAAGAGATGCTATATAATATATGATTATAATTTTTTTTAATGTTTTACTGTAAGTTGCTACTGTAATTAGCCATTTTTTATTACATTAAGATGAAATATTTGATAATCATTTACTTTTTAATATTTCAAGAAATATAATAACATATTTTTAATGTGCTAAAAAATATTCTTAAAAATTATATATTTTAAAATTTAACGAGTCGATATTGTTCTATTTCTATATATTTACATTATGAGAATGTGATCACGCGTGCGCATTAACGTTTCTCAGGCTATTAATTTAATTCCTTAATATGACACATATATATTTATGTACAAGTGTAGTTAGTTAAAATGTAAGTATATGAGCGTTATATGATATACAATAAATAAATATCCTTATACAATCTTAGAGTTTCGATCAAAATTCTATGAATTCATATTTTGGATGTTTTAAGTTATATAGCTTGTGTTTACTTGAATATTCTCAATACTGCTTTAATTTTCATTATATTTTGTGATGAAAATGCACCTTTTCTCTACCAATGCTAAACGTAATTTTATCACGTGATTTTCCCACCATGCATTACAACGAAGATTTCCCGCCAAATCTAGTTGTATCGGACGCCAACAAGTGGTGGTCTTGCTGACAGTTGTGATCCATCGAGATGTGATCATTGTTCTGCTTGTAAGAGTATGGTGTATCTCATTGAAGTTAAAACACATGAAAATTGATCTCTTAAATATACCTGTTTAGACAAGCGAATTAAAATAATAGTTATATTGTGTACAATTCTAAAGTTAAGTTTATCAAAATGTATGTAAAAGTAAGAACAATGGATGGTAAACAGGAAGCGATATTAACAATTTCTAAATTAACAGAAGTTGAAGATTTTAAGGTATGATTTTTCAAGTTATTACAATAAATGAAAATATTTTCATAATTTTATGAATATTTTGAATTTAATAATTTTATGCTCCAATATGCAGTCTTAAGAATATTCTTATCACTTATATTAGCTTTTTTATATGAAACTATTATTAGCAATAATTTATATTTCTTTCAATCTTGTATTAAATCTTCAACAATTTGTTTATATTATTATAAGCTACTATTATATTGTAGTTTGTTTTATATATTAATTTTTTAATATATACACATATATAATAGATTATACAATTAAAAGCATAATTATATGTAAAAGTAATTTTTTTCATTATTTTATATTTTTAGCGTGAAATAGAAAAGGAATTATCAATAGAAGTTGATATGCAACGACTGTTTTTCCGTGGTAAACAATTAGAAAATGGTTATAAATTACATGATTATAGTATTAATTTAAATGATGTTATACAATTAATGGTAAAAGTTAAACTAGATAATATAGATAATAAAGAAAAAAATAGTAAAGATAATGAAGATAGTAATAATAAAAGCAATAATAATAAAGTCAAAGAAAATACTGAAGTAGAGGTTATTGAAGAACCAAATTTGGAAGAAGCAGAAAGTTTATATTATAAAACTGGAGATGCTGTTGATTGTCTTGATCAAATACATGGAGCTTGGTTTGAAGCAATTATAAAGAAAATATTTAAGCAAGACGAAAAGATTATTTATAATATGCAATGGGAATTTGATAATCATGCACCTGCATTTAATGTATCTGAAGGATTTATTAGACCTCGTGCTAGAAAACTTATACCTATCGAGGATTTGCGAATAGGTCAAAAAGTAATGATAAATCATAATGTTGACGACCCCAAAGAGGTAGGGCTTTGGTATGACTTTACAATAAAAAAGATTGAAAAGAAAAGAAAATTACAAGAATTAACTGGAACTTTATATATTGGCAGGTGATTTTTCAATTATTTTTATTTATAAATTGTATCTCTCTAATATATTTAGATATTTATATTAATACATATATTTTCATATGTATAGAGACAATCTACTTGAAGGTCATAAAATAAATCCTAAAGATGGAGTATATAACATAGAACCTCCAAAACTTTTATCCGAAAGAACATCAAAGGAAGAGAACTATACAAGTAATGGTACACGAAGACGTGTTGCAGCTTCTTGCACTAAATGTATGGATGATCCTAATCAAGAATGTAAAGAATGTGGATGCAGAGTTTGCGGTGGTAAAGAAGATGAACATAATCTACTGCTTTGCGATGAATGTAATTTTGCATATCATTTACGTTGTTTAAATCCACCTTTAATATCAATCCCAGAAGAGGATTATTGGTATTGTCCTGAATGTAAAAATGATGAAAATGAAATTGTTAAAGTGGGTGATTATTCTTTTATATATAAATTTATTTTAAAAATAAAACAATATTTTTGTGTAAAAATATTTAATGTATTTAAGGCAGGGGATAAATTGAAACAATCCAAGAAGAAAACTAATACTAATGAAAGTAGTATAAAAAGAGATTGGGGAAAAGGAATGGCTTGTGTAGGTAGAACAAAAGAATGTAGTATAGTTCCACCAAATCATCGAGGTCCTATACCAGGTGTAGAAGTTGGTACATGTTGGATATATAGAGTACAGGTTCATATATATATATATACACATACATGTGTAAGTATTCGTGCATACTACAATGTTCTAATCTTTTTACTAAAGGTTTCTGAAGTTGGTGTACACAGGCCACATATAGCTGGAATACATGGTCGTGAAACTGATTGTGCATACTCAATTGTCTTATCTGGAGGTTACGAAGACGATATTGATAATGGAGATGAATTTATGTATACTGGTTCTGGAGGCAGGGATTTATCTGGTATAAAAATGTTCTATATATTTTATTGTATATATTTGATGATTTATTACGTACATATGTATTTTCTATTATTTTCTATAATGATTACAGGAAATAAGAGGACTGCTGGACAAAGTTGTGATCAAACATTAACAAGGATGAATAAAGCTTTAGCAGTAAATTGTAATGCTAAACTTGATCCAGTAAATGGAGCCACAGCTGAGGATTGGAGAGGTGGAATCCCTGTAAGAGTCGTACGCAATTTTAAACTTGCAAAACATAGCAAATATGCACCAAAAGAAGGTAACAGGTATGTATGGTATAAAATTTTCCTTTTTCCTTACTTATATTTTTAGATATACTAATACATGAATATTAAATATATAAATTATTTATATGAATGTTAATATTGTACATTTATTATTTTGAGAATAGATATGATGGCATATATAAGGTAGTAAAATATTACCCAGATACGGGTAAAAGTGGTTTCCGTGTATGGAGGTACCTATTACGCAGGGATGATCCTGCTCCTGCTCCATGGACTCGAGAAGGTCAAGCAAGAATAAATGCACTCGGTTTAAAACCATTATATCCTGATGGTTATTTAGAAGCAATGAAAAAGAATCACCCAAATAAAAAACGTGTTATTGAATTGGAAGATGAAGAATTACTTAGCTCTAAAAAGATTGTACAAATCAGGAAGAAACAGAAACGTGAAATTTATATATTGGACAGCAAACTTATAAAATGCATAGATGAAGATACTGCTAATGCAAAAATTTGGGGTGAATGTCGTTTAGCTTTACCAAATGGAAAGGCCGCTTTTCTACAACGAGTTTCAGAAAGGTTTGCAATATAAGCCTTGGTAAAAGTTAAAACAGTTATTTAAATACATGATAAAAATACATGTTTTCTTTACAGATTTACTTGTGTTTGTTGTTTAGAAGTCGTTAATAATCCTGTAACTACACCTTGTGCTCATAATATTTGTCTTACTTGTCTAAAACGAAGTTTTTCATCTGGAGTTCACAATTGTCCATCATGTCGTCATAATATGGAGAAGGATTATAAAATGGATATTAATGAGTCTCTTGCTTTAGCATTGTTAATGCTTTACCCAGGTTACAATGTTGGCAGATAGCATCATGAATATAAAAAATATAATAGAGACACAGATACAAATAATTAAATTTATTGCTTTTATATACCATAGAATATAATGTATCATATGGATCCAAAGCAAAAAATCTTATTTGAAGAGATATTAGGACAAAATAATTATTATATTATTAGTAGAATTGGTTACACATTACTAAGATAGTTATGTTAAAAGTATAATTACACATGCTACAAAGTATAAACAGATTTTGACGAAGCAAACATTTTTACAATTATTTTCAAAATATGATCAATTATATATTTGGCATCACACACTCATTATGAAAGTCATTGATTTAATTCAAAATCAATTTCTTGTAGAATAATTATTGAATTAACTTCATTGAATATAAATTACTTAAAAATATGTGTGTGCCTTGTAGAATTAAAAAAGAACTATTTAGTATAACAATAAAACGGGATATTAGAAAAGTTTTATTTATGATTTATTTCTAATACCATTTAATTAAATGATTGATAGTGAAATTACTTTAAAACGAATTTATATTTATATTATTTATAAGATAATTGTCATTAATGTAAGAAGATAATTAATTGATATTATGGCTGTTTGTTTTTGTTATATCGATATCTTCTGTTTGGGATAAGCATATATAAGCATAGTGGATAATATGATTATCATCAATAATGATCAAATAGTCCTAACAATGTTTTATTATAATATAAAATATTTAACAATCAAACTTAGATTGTTATATATTGTAAGAATCATTCCATATTAAAATATTCTTTATTATATTACATTATTTTTATAATAATAATTTTATTTATTTATATATTTATCGTATTTCTTATAATTTCATATATAATAATATTATATTATTTCATTATTAAATAGATAAAATGATTAAATATTGTCTTTTTCTTTTCGTTTATCCATAGGAGGTACTACTTCACTGATCCACTTTAGATATTGTTCATTACCATTTTGTATCTGAATTAAATTTTTAATTTATATGATGTATTAATAAATCCTTGTTTTATTTTACAAAAATGTAAAATAATAGAATATTTATTTATGTAAAGTAAAATAAACAATAAATAAAATAAAATTAAATAAATCTTACTTACAGGCAAGGTAATTACTTCACATACTTTATAAGGATGATGACTTCTAAATAAAAGAAAGATTAGTTTATTTTTTTTTTCTGATGCTACATTATTTGTTATATTATTAACTTACTTAACATATTCTGTCAAAGCATCCACTGTATCTGTCCTTGTTTTTACCATCTATATAATAATTAGATAAACATGACATATTATTCTTGCCGTATAATAACTTTTTTATATAGATAACAATTATTATTAATCTTACCAATAAAAGTTCAGAATCCTCATTTATTTCATTTTCCCATTCATACCTATATATAATTAATCAATAATAATCAATAAATTTAATAAATAATTTTCTTAGATAGAAAATATTCTAATGTGTGTAAATAGATATTCTATTTTATGAATGCTTACACCGAAGTAATTTGAGGAATAATATTCACACAAGCAGCCAGTTTATTCTTTACCAATCCACTGCAGATACAAAAAAAAAAGATTTTGTTGTTTTATTATAATTATTCATAGGATAAATATAAAATTAGTTTCAAATTTAATAGAACTATCTTACTGTGCCAATTGTTTAGCTACTGCATTATCAGGAACGGTGATATAAGCAACAGAATGTATTTCCGTAAAATTACTCATTATTCGTGTACCATAAACATAAAAGTTTCTTAAAAAACCAAATATCATCAGCAATATCAATGCAGATTTACCGGCCATTCGGACTGCTTTCACGAATAATTTTAGTACAGATGATCAGAGGTTACTAAACACAACATAGAAAAAAATTGACGAAAAAAGTTCTAATTGGTTAATATTAACTAATGCGCCATTTTTAACCAATAGAATTGAGAATCTCGACAACCAATGAAAGCGTAGAAAAAGAGTACAAGACATTACCCGACATGCCATAAACAATTTGAATCATTATAGTATAAAAATGATAATAAACTAAATGATAATAAACTAGAATAGTTTATTGACTAGTTTATCGACGACGAATAAATTAAAATAGTTTATTGATTAATTTTATCGAATTTATCAATGTCAAATAATTCTACTCGCGTACGTAGTGGAACCATGTTACACTTTCTTGTTTCTTCGTTTCTTTCATTCGTTTTGTGACTCCCCCAATTGCCATATTTTATCCTTATTGTACCTATGAATTTAATATAGAACTTGATTTTTTTGTTATAAAATCATTATTTTTATTGTATTTTAGAAAAGAAAAAATGAGAAATATTTACGACTCTATATAGATAAATCTTTATCTTCTGAATGAGACTTGATTTATCAGAATTTGTTAAAAATTACATCTCGATTTATCTTTGGCGTGAACTATTATAAAACTAGGAGTGATGAACAGCCTTAAGTATGAAATATCAAGGATAAGAAAATATCATTTGGATTAAGACCTATTCAGAAGTGAGAAAAAAAGATCTATATATGGCGGTGTTCGTACGTACATGTTTATTGCATGCTAATGAATAAGTACATTCAACATTCAACTAAATACAATTTTTTTTCTACTTGTCCAAAATATTAATTATATGATCTGTACGCTATTAGCAAATATTAAAAAGATTTTTCGTTAGTACATGGACTATATAAGTTCATTAGGTAGATGTAAAAATATTCATGTAAAAATACATAAAAGGAGAAAAATAATGGACCGTAAAAGATAGATACATTTGCAAATATTTTAACTATACATAATATATATAAACTTGTACATAATATGTTTAGAATCGTACATAATATGTATAGGCTCGTACATAATTTGCTCTTACATAATTTGTATAAACTTATACATAATATGTATTAACTCGTACATAATATGTATAGGGTCGTACATAATTTGCTTTTACCTAATTTATGTATAAACTTATACATAATATGTATTAACTCATACATAATATATATAGACTCGTACATAATATAATTATTCATCATTTCATTAATACTGTCTCGCATATACAAGGATATTAATTTTTTCTTAAAATTGTTTTTTTAACTCATCATTAATATAGTATTCATTTGCAATATATATTCGCGATATATTGAAATATTCTTTATCATAGACGAATATCATATATCATAATATTAACAAATACAAAAATTAGAATGAACTTATGATCTGATTTTAGCGCCAATTTGAAAAAGATGTTTTTTGTACCTTATTCATAATCTCTCATTCGTTTAGATTACTTTCTCATTATTACTCATCGTTATAAATCATTATTGCTCGAAACACCGTTTGTGTATAAATGTCGATTACAGAAATCCGCCTGCGGATACGAATTATATGATAAATCGAATCGACACTGAGAGATTTATTACGTTCGTATAGAAGATCGTATATTCTTATTGTTAGTTTATCGTTTTATTATTTATTATTTATTATTATTATTATTATTATTATTATTTATTATTTATTATTTATTATTATTATTATTATTATTATTTATTATTTATTATTATTATTATATTATTATTATTATTATTATTATTATTATTATTATTATTATTATTATTTCTATATACAGCCATAATATGATTCATTTGAAAAGTTGAAAAATTATTATTCGGAAATTCGATTCATATAGTCATTCATTAATACATAGGCTTTCTGAGGTATATAAAAAATAATGTTGATCTTCGTTTATCAGAAATTCATATAAGTAGTCGGCATCGGTAAGTTAACATTTTGTAAAACGTGTGTGTATATGTGTGTGTGTATATGTATGTATGTATGTATGTATATAGATATGTAAATCGATCATTGAAAATAGAATTCTTTTATTTTTTTATCGATTTGTTTATATATTTCATAATTTTATTAATATTTTATGATATATCTACGCATTCATTCTTATCTAATGTATGTTCATTAATTTTTTTTCTATTTATTTTTTTTTTATTTTTTTCTTTTCCTGCTTTCTTCTTTTTTTTTTTTAACAAATTATGTACTTCTATATACGAGTATTAATTTGACACACTTGGGGGTACCAGTCGCACGTGTCTTTTACGAAAAAATACCTATGTAATATGCAATTATATTTAGAAAACTATTATTGTACCTTCGCATAGTTAACTGAACCTTACGACCGTATTAAAAAGAAAGTCGTAAATAGTTCATTATATATATTTTTAATATATCAATATATTTAACATTAATATATCAATTTTCCTTTTATGATGTGTATTATTATAATCATTATAACTGGTTTATGGTTCTTTCATTATTTTTATCACGAATAATCGCGCTAAGATATGAAGATTATTTGACTGTTTAACCGTTATCGATTGACGAAAATATTTTCATAAAAAGTGCGGTACGAATATAAGTATACGAGATAATATTAATAAATATATGGAGTTATTTCATTTAAAGTGCATAGAAAAATCGCATAATGATAATCTATAAAAAGATAGTTAAAACATATTATGAGATTATAAGATTTAATGCCATTATGTAAAATTAGAAATAATTAATATTGTATGTAAATATATATGTTTTTTTATTTATTGCAACATAAATGAGACTATGACGATTTTTAAATATAATTAATCATGCAAGAATTGTTAATATAGATATTTTTCTTTTTTCTCTGAGGATTTATCTTCATTTAAATCTTATTTACAGATTATCAGTGCGTATAAAAAGCCATGTACTAATGCATTTCACAGCATTATTTTATCTATAAAATTTTATTATAAGGCACGTATACGATAGGATTTTAATTCTCAATAATTTCTTTGCGATTTTATGCGAATATCGGATATATATATATATATATATATATATATATATATATATAGATTTATCTACTACGTTAGGAATTAGGCGATATTCTTTGCGTATTCTTCGTAACGTTATATGTGGAGATTTTCTTGGTATCCTTCCACCTCGTTGTACATTTTTCTCAAGGGATCTTTCGTATTGTTAGATAAATAATTCTGTATACTCGGTGCTACCTTATTATTACCAGGAATTATTCCGTTCGCCAAGTGCGCCACACCATTTTGTAACATATGCGTCGTTCCATTGGTTATTCCATTTTGTCGGATCCCATCATTTTGTCGGATCCCACCATTTTGTCGAATCCCACCATTTTGTTGGATCCCACCATTTTGATTCATCCTTTTTGCATTGTTGAGCACGCCATTCGTCATGTTGGTGACACCTAAGAAAATATAATATTTAACGTAAACAACAGGTTAAATATACTTATATGTACATGTTTATGTATGTATATATTCGTTGTCCTTCATTTTTACTAAGTTAGAAAATCTTTTTATAATTATAACAAACTTATGAAAAGTTTCATCTCGACAGAGAACACTGTAATCTGACCTTGAACTACGACGCCATTTAAGTTTTCCACTTTATTTATCGTCTTGCTCACTTGATCAGATACACCGTTGTTAATCATATGCCTAGCGAAACCATTCGCTATATTATGACTACGTCTCTGCTCTTCTGTTTCCTGGGTCCCATTGATGTCATCGGGGATTGGTAAGTTTGAGTCTATATCGTCACCATTTTCTTGCGGCTTTGGCGATTCTGGTCCACGTGGATTATCCTCCTCTTTTCGTCGAACACGTCGCGTCAGTTGAAACAAAGCTTGCGAGAAATCCTCTTTTACACTTGGCACGTCTGTGTCACCATCGATCTAATCAATGAAAAAAAAAAAGAAGAAAAAGAAAAAGAAGAATATCTCTGTTAAAAATATTATCACATTGAATTATTATCGCATTGGATATTATTAGATTATTGCACATACGATTACTAATCGGTTTTCATTATCCAGTGTTTTCAACATCGGCAATGACATTTCTCGAAAGAGTTCTAATCTTTTTCTGAAAGCTGATACACTGTCATCTAATCTACCTTTACCAAGTTGAAGCTTCGAACAATCCAATAATACTAACGGCGGTTCCTGCCCAAACTGAAATAAATCATTTCAATGATGAATTATTTAACTAGTAGAATCAAATAATTAATAAATTTTATAAAGAATTTTACTTTGTTCTCGAATTCTTGAACTTGGTTCAAATCTCTTGGATATCCATCAATGATTATACCATCTGTGTCACGATTCAAAAGAACTTGTTGTTCGACCAATGGCATCACAATATCTTGGGATACCATTTCACCAGCTACTATTGCCTCAGTAACAGTCGTATTCGTTGATGCCATTCCTCTTAACAAACCACCGATACTCACATGAACCCATCCTGGCATATTTTGAATAGCATGACTGCACAATACTGCTTTATTGCTACCTGGTCCACCTTTGGTTTTTTTTTCAAAAAATGAAAAAAAAATTTGTTGAAATATTAACAAAGATTATATGTTTTGTTTAAATAAAATCAATCCATTAGATATTCTTACCTATTATCCATATAAAAGCTGGTAATCCTTTCCGAGGTTTTACCGCGGTTTTAGATGCTTTCGTATCTGTTTCAATAGGTGGCTCAGTCATTTCGACTACAACCGTATGATCTTTTGGCGTTGGTGTTCTAGAAATTGCTTCTTCTCTCCTTTCTACCTTTACCTTTTTAAATTGCAAATTTATGTAACTAATATACTTCTCGGTATATTTCATATTTGTTCATTTATTTCTAATATTTGTACACTTACTTCTGCCTCTAATGATTGGGCCATTTTCTTTTCTTCCTCATCTGTAGTCGGTAATCCTAAAATTTTCATAACAGCTTCTCGGAAATCAATGAAAACTTCATTAGGATTTCGTTCTCCGTTTACCTTCGAATCATGAAAAAAAAAGAAAAAAGAAAATCGAATTTTTTGATTTTATCGAAAATAATCAGATTGATTTATCCTATTTATCTTCCTACCTCATATAACATTCCACTTTGATCGAAGTATTCCACAACAGGCATAACATTTCTATAGAAATTATGTAATTCCATCCTTGCTAATCCAATAATTACGTGACCGAGTTGAGCTCCAAAATCGATTTGTCTTTCGAGGACTTCCTGTCTCCATGAGACGAGGATTACACCATTGACGATTTTTATCTGTGAATATTATTATCTTGCTGATATAATAATTCGTAAGAAGTATAACGACGAAAGAAAATGTAAATGAACTTTTGTAACGAACGAAAGAACTTCTTTAACAAAATAAAGAAACTATGAGAAAAGAAGTTTTTATAATATCAAGTGATTGATCATCTTAAGTAGTACTTGTTGAGCTCGACTTTCAAACAAGTGTTAGGTTCTCACTTAAATGGCAATTAGTTTACTATAGAATAGTTCACTGATCACTAACACAAGTTCTTATTTGAATATATTACAGTGGTTTACAGTAGAACCATAAGTTGGGTCAATAGGTCAATATGTAAGGAAAGTTATAGAATAAATATTGCTATCGACATGTGGATACTCGTTAAGCTAGATTTAAATTATTCTTTAATAAATTACTCTTAAGTTATTCTTTTCTATTTATTATCTTTTTAGATCATTGACAAAAAGGGAAGACACTTCACCTTTTCGGCGTATTCGACTACGTCCCGCATATTTCTGGGATATCCACTGACAAGAAAAACTTTGGCCTCTGGAGACATTTTCATTTCGAGCATGAGAACTTCCGATACGGTTTTACTGCTGAGTTGACCGAAATCTTGCATATCTGTGATGTGAAAGGATTTAAAGAAGAAAGAAAAACGAATTAGAAATAGACAACTAACTTAGAATACAAATTTATAACAGAATGGTTGTTCGAAATGTTCATTAAAAAATCTTAATCATTTATTTCTAATCGGTAAATTTCATTCACCGTTTCCAAGTGCATATTGTTGAAGGAGATCCATCATGTTGATATGTGTTATGCCTTTCCTCTCTTGCATTAGATTATCGCAGTGTGTCACCTTACCACTACCTGGACCGCCTGATAAACAAACGATCGATTTTTTTTATCGATACGTTGTTTAAATGCAAAATGATAAATAATTCGCGAAACTAACCGAGCACAAAAATGACCGGAACCTTCGGCATTTCGAACTTAACAGGACCCACGTTTTGCTTCGTGAAACGTCCATCAGGCGGGGTCGCCAATAAACCAGTTTCTCCTCGCCATCTTCCTGTACTTCGAGCATCGGGATCCTCGAACACCTGCGATCCATTTTGTTGCTCTGGAAAATCATCGCCACCGAACAATGATAAATCGTAGAATAATTTTTATTTTTAAATTTGATTTGCATTTTTCTATATATGTATACGCAATATTTCAATTCTTTCATGAACGACTTTTTCAAAAAGTTATTTTTCATATAGAAATAGACTGGTAACAGAGAAATATATATAGATATTATCATTAAAATAATTTTTATTTTTATTCTTAATTTATGAATGTATTTTTTGTCGAAACTGAAATGTTCATATACATAGATAATATCATATATGAACGAAGCATTAAAAATATAACAATAAATTTTTTTAATTATCGTCTTGGTTATCGTTTATATGTATATACGTGATATACAAAAGAATAAATATTGAAAAGAAAAAGTGATAGTTTAGTTAAATAATAAATTAACAAGGAAACTGACCTACCTAATGAAATATGAAATGGCTTACATGTTTTTTTTCGTCTTTATCGGTAAATTAAGCGGGTAAACATATAGATTGAATGCGTCATATGCGTGAATGATCGATATTAAACATTGTATGACGTATTAAAATTTCAAGGTAACGTGCATCCTTTTCAAGGATATCAAGAACGATAACAAAAATATGATAGAATCTTCTATTCATTGAAAAATTTTTTTTTTTACAAAAAGTTATATAAATTTTTTAATATTCCCTGTTAAATGGATAAAAACATTTTTAAAGTTAATACATTATTGTGTTGTAACAAAGTTTTTGAAATGTACAATGTAACTTGTGCCCCCATAAAATATTGAAAACAACTATTTACGTTGTATCCATTAATTCATATACGAAATTATTTTATTCATAAATAAAGGAAATCGATCTTTATATGAACTTTTGAACTTTTCTATGAAAAGTAATTTTATTTTCTATATAATTCATTTCATCAATCTTTTCATGCGAATATATGCAATAATTGTTGATTTTTATATAGGTATATAAAAAAAAATTTAAATTAACAACTTATTATAATATGTTGTTATTAATGATTGCAAGCGTTTCATAAATGTGATCTTTGAAAATTACTAAATAAATTACTAATATTTATTATTTGCCAGTCTATAGAAACTATAGGACGGGCCAAATGTACTTAGGCGATTACAAAAAATTAATTACTTTCTTTTTTGAGACTTTTTAGGGTAAATTGTAAAAAAATTCCTAAGCTTGTAATTTTTCCAATCTGGAGAAAATTAGTCTGAAAAATCTCAAGATCGATTTTTAACAAATTCAATTTTAAGTGATCGATTTTTAACATTAGTTAGAAAAATTGTTTTAATCTTACCTAGGAACTTTGGCCCATCCTTTATGAGTTCATTCGATATCTACGATTTCGTTCGTAAATCAAGAGAAAAAAAAGTAAAAAAAAAAAAAAAAAAAACAAAAAAAGACAAAAAAAATAAAAGGAATGTAGTATAAAATATTCTGGTGTGAGAAATCACGTGACAGACTTTCTTTATTGATACCGATATGTTTCATCTTTAATATCGTTATCGGAAGATCCGACATTGAATAGACGATCGGATTCTTTACGTTAGATGTTATTACCCTCGTATCATATTTTATGTATATGGCAATAACGATTTATAGTTGTAACGTGTACCTACTATCTTTCACACTATAGTGGTCATAGATAATTTTCCTAGAAGTATAGAAAATTCAATACTTACAACTGCACAATTCTTGTCTATTTAATTTGTTTTTGTGTGATATCTTTTTTTTTATTTTTTAATTTGTAGTTTTTTTTTATTTTATCTTAATTAATAATAGTTTAATATGGATAATTTTTATTAAGACATAAATGAACGATCTTTTATTAATAACAAATTTATGTTATTAATTTTATTATAATTATGATGTTTTATGATATGATCATAATGATATAAAAAATAATAACAATAAAGACATATTATGATATCGTTATGATATACCTAATCATTATAATAATTTCTCATTTTAATTCAATGTTTTAAGAAATATTACGTAAATGTCTTAAGAATAGAAAAGCACATAAGGAAATTGAAATATCTAACGTCATCGTCTTCCTTAATAAATCATGGTTAGAATATTGATTAATTTATGTGACTTGTTACTCTTTCCTTAGGTCATACGAATCTAGAAAGCTGAACAACAATTTAGATTAAGATCGATGATTGATTAATTTTTTTTCAAGTCGTTGACTCGATCGCCTTAATGAAATTTTTTTGCTTGATTGTTCTCTATCTCTGTCTCTCTTCTCTCTCAATTTCTATCTCTCTGTTTTTATGTCACAAGTATGTTTTATTAGAAAATGTTTAGGTATTTTCTTTACGATCGTAAGAAAGTCTGTTTTCTTTGATATTACCTTGACACACGATATTTTCTATCATTTTAAAAGATATTAACAATTAATTAAGATAATATTAATTAGATTATAAATTTGATTATTTCGATATTGATAATCGTGTAAGTCGAGTTCTCAGTGGATTTTATATCTCAATTTTTGTCTGGCATACATGGATATGTTTGTGTTTACCAGTTGCGACAATGTTTTAATGAGAAGTGTCGTGGAGTGAAGTTACTCGGCCAGTTGCAATATTGATTCCTTTAGGTGACTCATACCTGTGGAACTTTCTCTTCATCGTATAACCGTCTTAGAAAATAAAATGAAGAATGTACAATTTGTGATATTGAAAATGATAAAAAAGAATAAAGAAAAAGAAAAAAACAGCGGAGAGCGAAGATTCGATTTTATGTGAATATAATCGAGATAGATCATTGATCAAATAATCTTCGAGATAGATCATTTTGTTCGAAGATGCTGACATATTTGAAGTAATTTTCAGACAGAACGTTTTTTTGTTTTTTTGCTTTTTTTTTGTTTAAATAAATTTTAATCGAGAATGTATCAAATGAATCATTTCAGTATAAATTATCACTTTGATGAAAAAATAAAAAGAAAAAGAAAAAAAAGAAATGGATGTGTATTCACATTAGTGAAATTAAAAATATGTATATAGGGGTTAAAAAGTCGAAGGTTAGACTCTTGTTGATACGTGGTGAGCGTTCATAAAATAAAAATGTAATGTCAAGTACAACTATGTGGGTCACACATTGTGTTGCATCTTTTATTTCCAATATGCAGCTTCCTGTTTCCTTGAGAAAAAGACCCGAGATAATTGCAAATTTGAAAACATATATACTGGTCGATGAAAAATAATCGATGAAAGAGTTGCTGTAAAATGTAAATACTTTGGAAAAATATATTTTTTTTAGATGTTTTGTAAACAAGTTGATAAGATAAAAACGATTGAAATGTAGGTTGTGATAATACTGACCAGTGTCCAGGCAGATGCCCATAGTAGGTCGTTCGACTAATCCTTCCACGGCCATTTACTCACATGCTTGCAGCACACGCGATCACTCTCCGTTAATAAATACTCCTAACACGTGGAGATTTCTTTAAAAAAATCGAAACACTCTGAATGTTCACGAATCTCACGGATTTCACATTAGAAATAATCAAAGTCATTAGGTTCCTTTGAAGGAAAAGCAGTTGATACAACCCTTTCAACTTTGTTCACTACTTTTTCTTAATTATTTCAAGGACATTTGTTTGTTTTTTTTTTCAATAACATTAGAATAATTATCCAAAAATAAAAAGAAAACGACACATTTCCTTGGATTATCCGTGAAATTTAATTTTCCCACCAACGAACAAACGTCCGTAAGAAGGTGGCGTTTCTATTCGTAAATTTCCTCTACCCTTTGAGTCGATTTGACGAAGTTTCTTCAGTAAACTTCTCAGGATGTAACTTAAGATCAGTGCCATCCACATGTAGTAGACTTTGAAAGAAATTTCCTTTAAAGTCGAAATAAATTCATCGTATCTTTCACGATTGATCTTCGTCGTGGATCACTAATTTAAAAATAGTGATTAAACTAACTTTCTCTTGATCTCGATCGATGACACTCTTCAAACACGTAATATAATATAAGAAGGGATGGATAAATGAAGAAAGATAGAAATCTTTTAGACTTTTTTTTTGCTAAAAAAGAAGCTTAATCAGCTCGATTTTACGTCACGTTCTTCCACTGGGTATAAGTAGAAATTGTGTATGTGTTATCCGTGACCCTGAACGTCAGTTGTGCTTTAAAAGAATGTTGAGTTTTCAATGATATACTTTGATCTTAGAAAAGATCTATATAGATTGTGGAACAGAGGCTGAGAAATATTTAACGTTCTCCTTGGTGTCCGAGCTTCGAGTATGACCGAGAGGAAATTACCACACACACTAGAGCTTTTTTCTCAACGAGTATTGTGACGATACCATAACACGACTTTACATCGGTACAAATAGAGGTCGTCGTAAACCACTTTGCGTCGTAGTCATGGACACCGCGCAAGCGCTTGTAAGCTCTCTCATCGTATTCACCCTACCCTTTTGTAGGGTACATATGTGTACATGCATACATACGTACTCTATATATGCTTACGTTAATGGACGGAGCTTTCGGAGTGTTTGTATGTATTTGAGCATCCCCATTCTAAACGTATGTCTCTCTCTATTGGTCTTTTTTTCTTTCTTTCTCTGTCTCTATATCTATATATGTATACGTGTATATATATGTATATTTATTTCTCAGTATAGTTAGGCATGCGTGAGTGTACAAGTTCAATGTCAAGTTCTCCCTGCTGTCGGCATGCGACTATTCTGGAACAAAGCTTACTGCGAAAGTCTAGAGATCTATTATAACTGTCTAGGTATTTAATTGAAATTGTTAATGAGATCTTGTTCTTGACTTTTTTTTTTCTTTCTGTGATTATTATACGTATCTACATTCATACATATGACTGAATGAGGTGAGAATATTAATTATGATACTATTAATGCATAAGGATTTTAATAAGATATTTGTAGATCACTTTTATTCCTTAAAAGAAATGAAATTCTATGAATTTCCTTTTACATTTCGATTATTGTATTTCAATTTTTTCATTTGTTCTTTCTATACATTTAGTTTTATAAATATTATACGAAGAATGGGGCCAAGGTAAATTTTTTTTCTTTGATAAATTTCGAATTTATTGAAATCGAGGATTATACGTTAACAAACTCTAACTCACGTATCTATGTTAATTATCTATGTTATGATTACCTATCTAAAGACAATTTAACCCACTTTATTGAGTTACAGTTTAGAAAAACGATTGCTGAATATAAGACAAATTAATATGCCTTGTGTAATAATTTGAAGGTTGGATATATGTATACATAGAATTAAAGTTAGCCTTGAGGAAACAATCTTAGAATTCTTTATCCTTGTGCTTTAATGTTTTGATGATTATGGAGGCTTTCGTCAATGAAACTTTTGTTCGAGAGACAAGAAAAAAGAAATTAAAAGACGATATATATTTACAAAAGAGTAAAGTAAATTTATTAAAGAGTAAAATATATTTATTTTTTAATATTTATTTATTAATATTTATTTCCTTTCTGATTCGACGGGAAGAATGAATTTCTAATCGAACATGATCAATATTTCGGTAATGTCCAATGTATTTTTTTAGGAAAAAACAGTAAAGTAAATTCTTTTTTTCTTTAATTTTTTTCCTCATTTGATGAGAAAAATGAATTTCTAATAAGACATGACCGATATTTTGATGATGTCCGACGAATTAAATGACTTCAGTATTTAGAAGGCAAATCGTATACATTCGAGATAATCCATTCGTTTCAAATAATATTAGAATGTACACGGTCGTTTAGTAATGATTTGACAATGATGGATTTCACAGTAATTTGTTGAATTATTATTATTCGTAATGGTATATCTCAAAATATTAAATGATATGATGTCATACGACTTCGATTATCCTTTTGTATGTTTTCTACATCGAATAACAAAGAAGGAGGATGAAGGCACCCTTTATTAGAACGGATAAAATATTCAATAATGGATAACGTACCTTGAAACATTTAGCCGTTCGGTATCGATTGTTCGTAAGGATATCGAAAGCTATTTATGAATATATAAATATATATATATATATATTTTAGATCTTCAAAAGAAATTTCTTTCATCATTTGATATGACCAAATAATAAAGCATATATATGGAATTTTAATGAATTCGTTCATTGTGAATCGATTCAAAGTAAATGTTTAAAAAATTCGTCGAAGTAATCAGAGTACAGATATAATTATATATATGGTAAGGCCATATAACAACCGATGGTCGCCATATTCTATTAACATATATTGACGATTCTTAAGAAGCTGATGACCTTAATAATGACCCTGATAAATGCTAACTTTCTTGATTCTTAGCCGATGGATGGGATACCAATGGCGCTGACAATGATAACCACGTATATCGGCGGAATGTCTCTAAGGTTAAATTATTTAAAACTGTAATTCGCTTACAGCTGTCTTTGTCCCATATATCTATGCATAATTCTTACTTGACGAGCTAAGTCGACAGTAACGTTGTTCTCAATGACGCTATTTCTTTTTTTCATCATCACGAATTCTTTTTTGATAGGTAAAAGGCTGATTGGTTTATCAGAGATATTACTGGTACCTCATTATCTATATAATAATTCATTTTAAATTGTTTAGAAATCATATAGCTGATAACAAATATCTAATTTTTCTCTCTGTTTTTAAGATATCTCTTTTTAGTTTTTATATAACAATTGATGTCTTCATTGTTAAGAGATACGCAATGCATTTGTTAATATTCTGTATGTAAAAAATTCGTAGAAAGGATAAAAATTTTTTTTTAATCGATCAAACTATTATAGATCAACTATTATGAATCATGTTAAATATAAGACTGATTCGTAATGCGTACTAAAAAGCGTAATCATTTACTAGAAATGAAAGAAAGTTCTGTGATTATATCCAACAAGTATTGCGAATTGTTAAAAAGGTCAAAGATGAAACAAAAAATCTATTAACCCGTCCTCGGTATCATGACGTATGTATTTTCCATGAAAATATTTCGTGGTGTATGGTTAGGTTTATAAAAATTATAGATCGTTTCAATAGAAAAATATACGAATATTTTTTTGTTATGCTATAAGATATTATTGGTATACTGTTTAATAAAGAAATCTTATTTTTAAAATAAATATAAAGAAAAACAGCAATAATTAAAATCAATAGTTAAGAAATTTTCGCTTTATAAGAAAACCATTTTGTTTACACGATCAGGTACTGACAATTCTAAGATTTTCATCAACCAATAATTATATTAACACGATTTTTCTATATTCAAATAAAAAAATCTTTTTACTTTCTAAATCGACGTGATCCTTAGTAAAAGATAATAGTGTATTCATTCTTAAGAATAAAAAAAGAATCACAGTTCGATAAAAATAGTTTCTTCATAAAATATTTCATATCGTGGAAGAGTTCTCACATTTTTTGCGACTTCTGTAGTCTTTCCTTACTATATTTGCGAATATACATATGCTCTTTCTCTTTTTACTTTTTTCTTTCTTTTTTCTTTTTTTTTTCTTTTTTTTTTTTTATATGACAAAATAATACGACGATAAAATTTCACTAAAACGCTTAAACGAATGTCATCTGCTGTTGTATATTGTAAAAAGAATCATCGTTGTCTCCGAAAGTGGTGAGAAAGCATGTGAAAGGATTGTTATTAGATCTATCGTTATTTCTATCATTACTGGTTATCCAATAACCTTTTATATGAGCCGTTTGCGATTTATGTTTCACGATTAGCTTCACATCAAGATTTCGTTTACGCCACTGTATCAACGATATAAAATGAAACCTGCAATTATGTACAATGTTTATTGCACGTAACAATGCAATATTTATAATTATACAATATAATATAATTATGCATAGCAATGTTTATAATTATTTACAATGTTATTTATATAGAAACAATGTAGAATATTTTAAGCAAGGTTCATTTAATTATTTGAATTTACCTTATAGTAATGATCAGCCATAAAAAGAATGTAATGACAAGCATACAACAGAGTATAGCGAGACCAATACCCTCCCAAAAACCGAGTCGTGTGTATGCATTCGCACCGATTCCACATAAATAAGTAGCTACTACGCATAGAGGCGTGAGTACTATCAAACAGATCACATCGCCTGTGATTCCTTGTGGTCCATAAGCACTTTTACTCCTCCACCATTGGCAACATGACTAAACAATTTTTACATGGTCATTAATAAAATTTTCATCGATTAAAGTTATTTTATCTTTCTAAATATATCGATGTAAGAATTACCTGACATAAAGGTTTCTTCTTCTTCTCGATCACAAAAGCATACTTGCAGATTTCACAGTGATCGGTGTTTGACGAGGATAACCATTTTTCTAAACAACTCGCATGTATCAAACCTAAACTACCGGTACAATCGCATGGATCTATTAATTCCTCGATACTGTCGTCTGCTTGATAACAAAAGGTTCTGATTTTTTTTTTTATGCGGATATTTAATATTGTTGATATATATTATTCATTACAAAAAAAAAGAAAGAAAGAGATTAAAAAATTTGATTACATTTGTCAAGTTAGACATATCGTGAATATAATAATCTATAAATGATTACTGCTATATCAAATACTTTTTCATCGAGACGATGAAGATAAGATTACATTACTCATTAAGTGGACAAATTATAAGTAGTCTTATATAGATCCTTTGTCTTTATACCGATATACACGTTTATCATAAGGAAATGATCTCAAGACAAATTAAAAATAAATAAATAAGTAAATAAATAAATAAATAAGTAATAATAATAAGAAAAAAACAATACCTTCGTGACAAATTCGACAATAAACAATAGAATGGCAACTTTGTTTATCCGGCGTCATGTTAGGTCGGTAGAAAGGCGACAAAGTTGTCGATGAGACGATCGTTCTCGGCTGGTCCGTCGCTCCGACGGCGACGGACGACGTAGTTATTGTTGGTGCGTTGCTTCGTTTGGATTCCATCATATACGTACACTTTAGAACCGTTCGTTATCACGTCTATTATCATAAAATTATCGCGGGAAATGGCAACACGTTCGAGACGCAGGATGTTGCCGAATACTTTCCGAGTTTACCACGTAAAAGCAGTCGTATTTCAAAATACCGCTTTCCTTTTAACGTCTAATTATTTAGTAGCTTCTTACTTTGCCATACCTTTAACGACACACAGTTATCCTTGACATTGACGACAATGACAGGATGTTTTGTTCCGTTCGGACTAATAAACGTTCGGACTTTTGATAATATCGCGATGGAATTTTAATATTTCTCTTAACGCATTATGTCAATAAAAATTATTATATTATTATATTACGTATATATTTTCATTACAATCAGAGTTTCTAATATTTTTTTTAACGAAAGTCTTCTTTTATAAGTGAGAAAGATTCCTGTTAAAAAAAATCGCGGTTTAAACTTAGTCCAATATGGCGTCTATGCCAGAAGAGTTCATTAACCGCGAAGACCGATAATGGTCTAGACGACAGTTACTATAGGGACTAAGTTGAGAGAATTCTGAGAAATCGTGTATATAATTATTTAAGAGACACATGCATAAGAGTAATGAGAGACGTGAATTCGTTCACGTTATATATGTGACCAATTTGATAAGAATACATACAGAATTGTTTGATAACAATTAAGAACAGGATTAAAAATCGATAGATTGTTAATAATACGATAGATTACTTAATATTTATATACATATTAGGATTTTATTTATTTATATTTAATTATTTACATAGAATAATATTTACAATGTTGGTTAGTAATTTGAAAGGTATTCTCTGGTATTCCTCATACTGCGGAAAATGTAACCTCCTGCGCATTATCGCATACGTCTTTACGAAAGAGGCAACTTAACCTTAAAATCGTGCATCCAGCGAATTCTCAGTCAAATGTTTATCGTTTTTGATTTTTTATTATTTATCATTATATGATATCATGAATAGTCCGGATGTGATTAGTGAGGATGAATTATTAGAAAATGATGATGAAAAAGACTTGGATTTTGATATTCGAAATTACGTAGACGAAATCAACAACGAGGACTCCTACGATGAACTCTTGGATAATCAGGATAATAATGTAAATACATTGTAGATACTCTTTGTGAATATTGTTTTATTTTAATTATTAATTTACAAAATATGTCTTACACAGAAAGAAAATGACAATCAAGGTGGAAATGAAGAACAAGAAGAAAGTGAATGCGTTGGTCCTGTCTTACCAGAGGGGCATAGGTTTGATAGAAAATTTATATGTATAAAATATCCAGGAAATGTAATTAATCCAGATAAAGCTATCAGAACATTAGGTGGCATCAATGCAATTTCCACGGTATATATATTTTATTTAAATTGATATTTCAATCTTTGTGCGATAGTTCGTTAATAATTCCATTTTTGATAGGCGGTAGATACTCCCAACAGACGTCTAGAATTGCGATTTAGACCTGACGATGGGTATAGTAAACCAACATGTGGTGATAGACATTCTAAAACAGCATTTCTATTGAGAGTCAGAGTAAAAAAGAATAGGGTTAACAAAGTACAAGAAAATGTGCAGAGATCTGAGGCAAATATAAATGTGGAATCTATTAAAAATGAATTTAGGAATGTGTCTTTGAATGACGATAATCTGAAGAATAAAGGCAACCAAAGTGACATCCAAAATTATGGGGACTTAAAAAAAGATAATATTGTAATAGATCTAGTTGAAAAAATACAAAACTGTAATGTATCAACAAAAAACAATCCTGAAAGTTCTAGTAAAGTATCTTCCAGTGAAATTGGTAAAAAAATTTCTGATACATCAATAGATACTGGCAAGAATTTGGTTAAAGGCAAAAAAAATATTGCACCAACTTTTGATCGTAATAAATATGAGGATCTTTCACAAGACGAACAGTATGAATTACCAAAATTAAAAATATTAGGAAGGATAGATACAGAATTTCAGTTTACTAGTATGTATTTTAATAAATTTATCAAGATACATAGAACTGCATTTTTATCTATATAGTTCATTCTAATATATACTAAAGATTCATCTTTAATTTTTATTTTATATTATTTAAAGTTTACTTGTACAAATTTGTATTTTTAGATTTGTGTGATTTTCAATATTTGACCATGACAAAAAGTAAAAAAAATCCAAAAGTATTGGAATGTATATATGATAAAATATATCCTACCGGAATTCCATCTTATTCATGGTTAAAAAATGAAGTGCCTTATTTCTTACCACCAGCTGCGTTCAGCAGAGTGGACAGTGTACAACAATATGTACCGAAAACTGAAACTAGTTCGCTACCAGAAAATATAATTGGGAAAAATAAAAAACGCAGAGCAGGCTTTGCTAATTTTATTTGCTTTACAACTCAGGGTGTACCTACCAAAGCACCGGATGGTATTGAGACTGCTATGAAAGTGAAATTTCTACAAAATACGCATTTGGAAAAAATTCGTCAGATGTTCGAGGAACGACCAATTTGGTCTAAAAATGCTATAATGTATAACACAAAATTCACAGGAGAACAATTAAAAATATTGTTACCTTCAGTAGCATATTACTTTATGACAGGTCCTTGGAGAATTATGTGGGTTCGTCTGGGTTATGATCCTCGAAAAGATATTTCGGCTAGAAAATATCAAACTTTGGATTACAGACTGAAAGCCATGCGTAAAGATTTTTTCTTTTTTTATCTTTTGTAATTTGCATTTACACTATTAATTCTGGAAGTTTACATATCTTTTATATTTTATATAGGTGGATTGGGATCTACAGTAAAATGTAAAAGAAATTATTCAGAGTATACATTACCATATAAATCTGCTCCAGCAGCTAAATCAAAAACCACTATACTTACGCCAAACTTAAGTATGGAGCCAAATCAAACAAAGCAAACTGAAATGAATGAAAATATGTATGTTTATAGAGAAGGAATGGTCCCTCCTTCGAGACAGATGTTTTATCAGGTTTTTATTGTTTTAGATTTATATAAAATTATTATTGGAAAGATAATAGATTTGTAATAGAGAAATTTTCTTTTTTTTTTTTTTTTAGTATTGTGATATTCTTGTGGACGAAGTACAACAAATGTTGGCAAAACTTCCTGATCCAATGCCTGGTACAAGGTGTCACGAGAAAAGGGGATGGTTACCAAGTGGTTTCGATGTTCAATGCAGAGAAATAATTAATAAACAAGTTCGAGCTGTTCTTAGAAAAAAAATGAATATACCAGAGGATCGTGAGTAATTCTTTTTGTTTTCTTTTTTTTTCCGCAAGAGATACTACAATTCAAAAATTTATTTCTTACGTACGACATTTATTTTTTAGATCCTACAACACTTCCACGAAAACGAAAATGGGGAGCGGGTCATAGAAAAAATAGACTTAAGAAAAAGAAAACAAAGACAAGTGCTGAACCATCTACTTCTAAAACACGTTTAAACACTTGTTCAGAATCGAGTGACGGTAGAGAGAATGTTAGTTAGAATAAATCAAATGTATAATAAACTAGTAATTTCTTTTGATACTATTGTTGTGTACATACTCTTACAAATGAAATGATAAATAAAAAAACATGAAAAATAAGATGGACATTATTCCGTCTTTTTCTCTATAAAACAGCAACGAGACACGAAAGGTCAAAACACAATAGAGCTTTCTTACTAGACCTACGTTTACGATTTATTCATAAATGTACAGAAACTGTCAGCCAGATATCTATCAATAAATACGTGTACATAATGAATTACTCTTTATCGGAAATATCGTAATTACACATTGGACGAAGTGCAAGAGTTATAGCTGAACTTCATCGGATAATGAAGAAGGAAGGAAAAAGTTGCAACAACGAGACACGTTATAAGTTATGTTAACAAATACAATTTTGTATTAAAAGATCACAGTTTCATCTGATCATGTTAAAAATTAATATTCGTTTTGTTATAACAGGCAATCGAAAATAATTAGAGCACATAATTACTAACGGCGTTACGAATAATTCCCATACTTTTAGGAGAGAAAAATTTCTTTATAGAAGAGAAAAGATCAATTAAGAATAATTAAGTGAGAACGAGTTTCTTCATGAAGGAAAATATTAGCATTATTAAAATCGTATTATTTCATCATCTGTACACCTGTTTCATTGAAAATTTTATTATGTTTACGTTTCTCGTTTGCAATGTAAAAGCGGAGAGAAGGAAAAAAGGGTGGGTGTTGATGACTCTGATGAGAAGGACCGTCGTGATATCACGTTGGCCTGTGGAGGCGTAGACCTCTTACAGACGGATACCACGGTTGGTATTTGCGACATAATTGAGGAGCTCCTCGGAATCTTCGCAAACGAAAGGTTTCTCGTGGTAGCAAGCAACATCGTGCCAAGCGATGCCGTCGTTGTAAACGTTGTTAAGTACAGACAAACAGGACTCGTTGGTACCATTTATATCGAATTCCGCGTTATCAGGCTGCCTAACTTTCTTGTGTCCAGTTTGGGACCAAGGATTAAAGCCCCAGCCAGGTGGTATCTGATTAGTTGGTGACATTTTTTCACGATTTGCCGACCAGAACCAACCGTACAATGATTTAGGTTCCAAATCACGTCGATTTTCGCAACCCTTGAAATCACAAAGACGACCGGATGTCCAAATATACGGGACATCGTCTGAAAATAAATAGAAAAAGTTCAAATAGCGAGGTGTTAATGAGTTTGATAAATAAATTTCTCTTTCTCTCTCTCTCTCTCTCTCTCTCTCTCTCTCTCTCTCTTTGTCTTTCGTTTGATTCGTTAAAGAAAGAAATCGTTGATTGTGCGAAAGAGATCGAGACACGAGAACCGCACAATACTATTGCATAAAAAGATGAGATCGCAGCCTCAACCCACTTAAAGATTCTTCGCATCACCTTGAAAGATCGACGTTATACTCATCACATGTATGAGATTCGCTTGAAGATTTCAGATAGAAAAATTATGCGATATCAACTTGTTTACTTTCGAAATCGAGGAGGGACATCAATTTAAAGAAATAATATTTTAATCTTACAGACGTTGAGAAAGAGAGAGAGAGAAAGAGAGAGAGTGAGAAAGAAAGAGAAAGAGAGATTAGAATATTTGTAAGAGTTAAGAAATTTGTTTGTTGCCAATCAATAATTAAAGCAGCTTCTTTTCTCGTTAATCATCAAATAGTTGGGTCGATGTAATATGTTGCGTCGTTAGGTCGACTGTTTCGAAATATTCAAGCCGTCAAGAATGATCTATCTGGTGAGAATGAAAGTTACGACGGGCGTATAAATCATTTTAAAACTCTGAGAGCTTCGTTATTAACGACATTTTCTTTGGTGGCTTAAATGCGTTGTGTAGAACTTTCTAAGGTTATTGTGTCACGTCTTGTCACATTATTGAAATTCTTATGTAGTACCTCACTGTTGATTTTCATAACTTTACATATTTCTCTATTTAAATTTACTGTCCACCTATCAATGACTTTGTTTACGATCTTTCTGTAGGATCGAATTTTTTTTCTTTTTTTTTTTTTTTTTTTTTTTTTTTTTCATTGAAAAGGAATCTTCTTTCAACAAAAATGAATAAAGAAATTGTGCCAATTGCATTTGAGAAACTAATCCGCGTTCACGCTACGAAGAATAAATATGATTCATTAAGTGTATAATTTTCGCCCATCCCGATTGTTATTTCGAGACATTATACTCACTCTGTTGTATAAGTCTGAAAATCATATTGTTCTCCTCTTGAGTTTCCATAGATACTAGATCCATACAATATTCTCTGCAAATATTTCTAGCATCAAGCCAATCGACTTTTTGATTAGCGTGAGCGGGCACGTGTCCGCTGTAGAAGTAGTTGTGACCACGGAAATTGAATTGTTTAGGTCCTGAAAAAGATACACATAAATATTAGAATTAATGAAGGGACGAGAAAAATGTCGAAGATATTTATATTAATAATTATTAATTAATGAATGAGAAACTATCGTTGATTTGCAATTAAAAATATTTGCTTTGTAAAGATAATAAAAAGAATTTCTATGTTTAAAAAGGCTTGAAGCTTTCGCGCGAAATAGGCGTTATTTCAATAAAGAGAAAGAGAAATAGAGAAAGAAGCATTTGTAACATGGAATCTCAAATAAAAAAATATTTGCCTTGTAAAAATAATAAAAAGAATGTATACACGTAAGAGAGTTCAGGAAGTTGATTTCACGTAAAATTGATAAGCGTTATTTTGATAAAGAGAAAGAAGCACTTGTAACACAGAATTACAAATAAAAGATATTTGTTTTGTAAAAATAATAAAGAAAATTTATATACTTAAGAGGACTCGAAGTTTACATGCAAAATGGATAAACATTATTTTGATAAAGAGAAAGAAAGATAGAGAAAGAAGCACTTGTAACACGGAATCCTAATATACACAGGTGTTTCGTAACACGGCGTTAGGTACTCATAATGGAACACACGTCGTAAATTGTCGATGGGAGAGGCATACCTGCATAAATACCGAGAAAAAGTATAAAACCGTTGACATTTAAAGCGAACGATAATGACGCGCCGCCGATTACAAACCCTCTTTGCCAGAGCAACGGAGATGAAGAACGAAGAACGAATAACGAAGACGAAGATGAAAACGAAGATGAAGACGAAGTACAACGACGATCATGATGATGCTGATGCTGATGCTGATGCTGATGCTGATGCTGATGCTGATGATAATGATGATGATACTGATGATGATGATAATGGCGATAATAATAATGATGATGATTATGATGATGATGGTGACGGTGCACGCGGCATCGAATCACCGCCCCACATAAACGGTGAATGCTTTTGTTGTGAATACTTCGTACGTGGCGCACTGGTCACGTGCAATTTTCTTCAATTGTTCGGTCAATTATTAGAGTTAAGGTGGATAACTACTAAATCTTTGACATGATGCATTAAGAAAAGTGCGTTGTCTTGTGTAATTCAATTATCTACGAATTTTTCTTTCCGAGTTATGTGAAAGTACTTGGGTCGTTGGAAATGAAGAGAGAAAGAGAGAGAGAGAGAGAAAAAAAGGAAAGAAAAATAAAAGGACTTGTTTTCTTGACAAACGATAGTAAACTTTTGGCATTTGATCCTTACGCAAGAAACTTTATATTTATATGACATTATGATAACGAAAAATGGTATCGCTTTTGAAACTTAATTATTTGTACGTGTATATGCATGCGTGCGTGTGCGCGTGATTATTTTTTTATATATATATATATATATATATATATATATATATATATATAATATAAAATATTATATATA